CCCACACCCCACCGCGAAAAATTTTTTTTTTTTCCCCCCCCCCCCCCCCCCCCCGTGTGTTTCTGAAGCTTTTTTCTCTGCTCGATGATGCTGATCTGGGTCCGGCGGCAGCAGACGGCTTCTGGCTGCTGATGAGCGACTCCGCCGACATCCTCAACCGCGGTTGCCATGCCGATGTTCGCATCATGTACCGCCAGCGCTTCTTCAGCGAGAATTCAGCCAAGTTGGTCCAGGGCTTCAACGCTGCGCCGCAAGGTACGAGGCTGAGGAGATGATTCAGACATCTCTCTGTGCTGATGATCACATAAACGGCACTTTAGCAGACAAAATGTTTTTGTTTTACACTACTTGTGTATGTAACAGTTTATCCTTTATTCGTTCATTTTTATCGCCTTTGTACATCAAGTAAAAAAAATCAGGACCTTGATTCTAAAATATTTTTTTAAAAGACCACATTGTTCAGAGAGCAGCAATTTGAGCTTTGTTAATGAAGACCAAGATTCCTGGACATGATAGTCGGCCATATTTGAATATAAAGAGGAAATGAGAGAAGGAAATGAAACCTGTTGTCGGAGGTTTATTATCCATTCTGATAACTTCCGATAACTTTCAGCGTAAACATCTATGGACATGAATCAAAGTGTCCGACTTTTTATTTTTATTTACTTTAATTGTTTTTGATTAAATCAGTTCATATCTATCAAGTGTATGAAAGAATATTCTCACCAAGGGTCACATATAGTTTGTAACCAAAGAGGCTTGTTCGTCCTCAAAACACTTGCGGAGTGTTTGAAAGACATAATGTAAAATCTCCAGAAGAGAACAAATAAACGAGTCACTTATTATTTAGCAGGTTTTAGACTTTTCCTCTGGCTGTCAGGTTTTAGATACCTAGGTACCACTTTAATGTTATTGATCTCTGTCTCCTCTACAGAGAAGAAGCCCAACTACCTGAAGGCTCTGTCTAACATTGTCAATAAACTGCCCAAGCAGGTTCAAGTCACTGAACTACCAGCGGTGAGTAGAGAGCAAACCGTTCATTTTCAGATGGTACCACGAAATACTGTAACACTATTAAAAATGTAGAGCACCTGGGAAATGGTCGGCATTAATGTGTCACGTTTTCTTTTGTCCCGGTCCAGCTGCTGTCTCTGCTGTTGGAGGCCTTGTCGTGTCCGGACCAGGGCGTCCAGTTGTCCACGCTGTCCTGTCTTCAGCCCGTCCTCATCGACCCGCCGCCAGCGCTCATCCAGCAGCTCGAGGCTCTGGTCAGCAGGCTGCTGGCCCTCACCTCCAGTCCAGCCATGGTTAGTGAGGCGACATGACACAGTGTTTTCTGTACTCATTCTTCTGTCACGATCGGTAAGATTGTGAGCGGCAAAAAGGTACATTTATCATATGTTGAATACATATGAAACTACAGCAAAATAATGTTTTATATGTTGTGTTACTGTATGATGCAGTTACAAATGCATGTGCACCCACATCTCAAAAGAGCTTCATGAAAGTGAATTAAAAAGAATAAAGTGACACAGAGAGACACCGAGCAGCTCCTTCCTTGTGTTAAAGGTGCCGTGCTGTCTTCATTGGTCTGATGAGGCTGCTCATCACTTAGCATGAACATGTCGATTCGCTCTAACAAATATTTTGTTTGTTTCTCGCAGAGCGTAAGGACCGCCTCGTTGCGTTGCATCCACGCCATCTCCTGCTTCCCCGAGCATGAGGTAAAACTCAAAGAATTCTGGATGTGTTAGATGTTGTCAAGTTGTTGAATACATTCTAAAAGCTATGATTTTTCTCATTAGAATGTTACTATAGAATAGAAAATAGTGCTCTACCGCAGATTTGTTGTGACTATTACTGTATTATTATTATTTCTATGGACAAACAGTTTTTTAGGTTCCTTTCGACATGCTTTACTGTTTCAGGTGTTGCCGTTTCGGGCCCGGGTGCTGCGAGCTCTGGCCCGGCCTCTGGACGACAGGAAGAGGCTGGTGAGGAAGGAGGCGGTTCAGGCAAGAGCAGAGTGGTAAGAGAGCGGATACCGCCGTTCAAGGGATACGCTGGAGGAGATTTAAAATCACTAAATATCACATTGGTCACGACAGAGTTCTTCGTTTCTCTGGTAAATGTGCTTATAGACTATCCTGCTCATTCCCACTCATGCCAGGTGTTGACATGCTAAGGAAATGTCCATAATCTTAAAACGCAGACAAAATATGAAAGGTTATATTCTCTTCAAAAGTGGAAAATTAGCAGATAAACGCCCCAAATCTTAACGTTCTGTTCTTTGGAATGCATCTTTTTTATGATCATGTGCCCTTCCTCACTGATGAGAAGGCGCAGGTGCTAATCCAGGCTCTTGTCATCTCCCGCCTGGACTACTGCAACTCACTACTTGCCGGAGCCCCGGCGTCGGCCATCAGACCTCTGGAGCTTGTCCAGAAAGCTGCAGCTCGCCTGGTGTTCAATTGCCCCAAGTTCTCCCACACAACTTGCCTTCTCCATTCTCTACACTGGTTACCTGTAAGAGCCCGCATCCAGTTTAAGACTCTGGTGCTAGCCTACAGGGCAGTGAAAGGAACAGCTCCTTCCTATCTCCAGGCCATGGTCAAGCCCTACACCCCCGCCCGACCACTTCGCTCTGCTACCTCGGGGCGACTGGTTGCCCCGTCGCTCAGAGGTCCCTGCGGCCGATCGACCCGGTCGCGGCTGTTTTCTGTCCTGGCCCCACAGTGGTGGAATGAACTCCCCACTGACGTCAGGACAGCAGAGTCGCTGCCCATCTTTCGGCACAGGCTGAAAACTCAACTCTTCAAGAAGGCCTACCCTTCCGCTTAGCACTTACTTAGCATCTATTGTATTCATACTAGCTTATTGCACTTATTGTTTTCATATTAGTTTGTGACACTTATTGCATTCGTTTGTTTCTGCACTGTACGTTGGCTCTGGTTTATGCTCTTAGATGCTTGTTTGAGGAAAGGACATGCACTTATTACTTCTGGTGACTAGTTGTTCTCTCGAAAACCGATGTTGAATACACTTATTGTAAGTTGCTTTGGATAAAAGCGTCTGCTAAATGACTGTAATGTAATGTGCCAAATGAACAGTTTGTAGTTGGTTCGTCACAAGAAGGTGTCTCTGTCTCGTCTTCCTCACAGGTTCCTGTTAGGAAGTCCTGGAGGAAGTTGATTCTGCTCCTCAAATACAGCCCTAGTCTCCCATCCTCCCTAAACCTGGAAGAATACAGATGTGGGAAAGTCAAAACTCCCGGACCTGGTGCCAAGGATAAAAGCTGCACAATCCACACAACAGCTCTCTCTCCTCGGTGCCCCCCCCCCACACACACACACACACTCCCTCTTTATCCTCCCGACTCATCTTTTCAACCAGAACCTCTCCACCCTTCTTCATCTTCTCGCCCTTTTTACTGTTTTTGTTGTCTATATCTTCATGAACGCACAAATACGAGTATGTGGACTGACTGGGAGCATTGTCTAAGTGAAAAAGAATGTTTAATATGTTACACACCTCATGGACGCTGTTGTCTTTCTTACTATTGGAGAAAATGGAACATCAGTGCATTTTTAAATCCCCCGAAGTGTTTTCTCATAGTTCAGCTGTTAAAATACTATCAGCTGCTTTTCTGCCAATAACTAACAACATGATCAAGACATTTATCATTATTTTTGCAAGATTTTTGAAAATCTAATCAAACTTGTTTGGATCTAGTTAGAGTTCTGAGATTCTAAATAGCTCTTATTAAATAGTTTGTGTGAACTCCCGTACGAAGAGAGGAAACACCGTACACACACACACACACACTGAATGATGATGTCATGAACTGTGGGGGAAACATTTTCTTTGTATCTTTTTTTTTTAAACTTCATGACCATTTTGACAGTTTCGGCTGCTAGAAGGCTGTTGAGACCTGGAAACATGTGGATGTGCCAATTGTCCGCTGGCTCACAGGGTGGTGTGAATCAATGCACCACACCTCCACTGAGATCAGTTTACATAATTAAAAATGTCGAGTTCAATGTACGTTAACTTAAGATTGTAAGTTATGTGAACAGTATGACGAACATCTGCGTTGTATTTTTTCAATAGCTGAACAAATATATCGTAGTTCTTGTCGAGTCATTGCAGTGCGGTCGGCTGACTTTGGACCTCTCACCAACTGATGCCGAGGAAATAGAGTATTTAAGATGTCATTAAAACCTCTCTTTGTAAAAATGCCTTTAATGTCATTTCTTTAAATGTCGTCATGTGAAGAACTTCAAACTAGAAATATCAAACCGGTGTTTTATTAAAAAAAGACAATAAATCAAACTGGAGCTCAGCTCCCATTGGTTACACATATCACAGCTGTATGTCATGTTTCTATGGCAACTACAGATGCAACCCGTCCGTCAGTAAGTTAATGATACAAACGTGTTGCGGATACAAATCTGAAAGGGGATTAAAAATCTGGTGTTATATTTCACAGTGCCTGAAAGTGCCTCATTTTAAAGACGGAACAACCAAACAAGTTCTTTATCGGTAGTAAACCTTAAAACAGACAATTATTGAAATAATCTCAGGACAAAATCAAAAAATCATCATTGAAAACATACCCCACATTAAGAAACACTTTGGGTTTGTCATCAGCCCAAGACCCACGAACACAGTTAGCATGAACAATGGAAACTAAAATAAAAACCAGACAGTCTGGCCTCAACTCTCTGGCTTCACAGGAAGTCACGGATCAACACGGTGTCACTTATTAATGGTGCTAGATTCTGCATTTCATCGGTAAACCGTGAGCACATTAAAGGGGTACTTCGGATGTTTAGAAGTGAGGTTGTATGAGGTACTTCTCAGTGTACTTACAGTAGATTGTGGTCGTCACAACCCCAGTTTGGAGAAGAAGTGAATACCGGCACACAAGTAAAGCAATTTAACGTTGTTTACAGGAACGTCAGCAAAACGTATTTAAGCCACCTAAAACAAAAGCTGTCAACATTCCACAGCATTGCTTTGCCGCTGCTCCTGTACTTGTGTCTGCTTCTCCAAACTGGGGGCGTGCCGACAAGTCATCTCTAGATGTACCTCATACACCCAAACTATGACTCGAACGCTGGCACATTGAAACAGTGTAAACAAATCGGACCTTCTCCGAGAAGTCAAATGGAAATCAAGACGTTTACCTCCGTCTCATATCTGAAAGACATTGACAATACGACTGAAATAAGATGGCGGGTCATTCTAGTTTACAATGTGCTGCGTTTGACACGTAGCACCTTTAATGTGCCGTACCTGCAGACTGGTGTCCTCCGACGCTTCCCGCACTACATCATCCCTCTGTCCTACATCTCACTAAAGAGGCTGTAGTGTTGGTGCATGATTTTCCGTCAAAGAGAGACGCACATAAAAAGTCTTTGCCGTGGCTTTACGGGAGAATGGCGTCGTCTTCACAGCTATGCTGGCCAGCAGCACCATTCATGAATCTAATTAGCGCTGCAGTCGCGGGGCGAGGTCTAGTGAGACCTTCAGTCGACCGGAGACGGATGGGAAATGATAACGGAATCTAGAAAGAGAAACCACTGGTGCGTATTTCCATGTGGTTCCCACTTTTAACAAAGCAACAACAACCTGTGTCTATTTGTGAAACTACAAAGCTTCCCTTTCCTTGTTGTATGATTGTAGCAGCAGGAGCTTCTCTTCTTTTAGATGTGGTTTGGAGGAAAGGATCAGATGGCCATGGGGTCTGTTCTGGTGAAGGTAAAGTCCCACGTGATGCCGTCCCCGTTGGGAAGATGGCTGGAGGGCAAGAGGACCCGCGTGAACCAGTGACTGAGGGAAACGGACGAACAAATACGTACTGGTTGAAAACGGTTCATGTTTTTGTCAAAGGAGTCCGGGGGCTTTGAAGAGAAAAGGGTTAACAGCGAGGTTAAGCAGTGAAAACATTGTAAATCAAGCGTAAAATATTTTTGGGATAAGTTCCTTATACAACCTCACTTTAAAAAATCCAAACTATCCACAAAAGGTTTTCATGAAATCGCCCTTTTATGGTCCTAATGTGTTTACTTTCTGTCACTACCGCCTCTATATAAGGAGTTGTTGTGTTTCACCGCAGTAACCACAGCTCGGTGCCAAATCAACTACGGCTGAAAAACTCACCTCCTTTTTTCCACACCCAACAGTAACTTCCAGTTGTTCACTGGACCGTGATGATATGGATTTTTGAACACCTGCGTTAGAACACAAAAGAAAGGCATTTTCAATGTTGTATTTTTTTATACCAAATACTTACAGAGTCAACAATGTTATTTAAGTTTTTTTGGTCTCAAAATGTACGATTGCATGCGCTCCAACTGATCCAATGCCGATTTGCACACGAGTGTTAGTACCTTGCCCTTCCCCTTGAGTCTTTTGGCCTCTTTGTTGTTGATGTGACGCTCCACGCTGGTCTCTCCTCTGCTGATGAGTATACTGTGCCAGAGGGTGAGTCCTCCAAGAGCGACAGACACCGTGCTGCAGGAGGACATGTTGCAACATGATGCTATCAGCCTTTATCTGATGTTTAAAAAGCGGGGGGGGGGGGGCCTTACCTGGTCAGCACCCAGAGGAAGATGACACTCTTTTGAGCGGTGGTCTCGGTGTAGGTTTCGGTTGGAGGAGGGGTCTGATAGTATCTCTGCAGGGGGACAGGAAAATATTCATGCTTGCGAATACGGACTCCATTCACTTTCAGGTCTGATCCCAGGATGTTTCAGCTCGCTGCTCTCTGAGGGCATTTCGGCTCAGGAGCAAGAGGCTGCTCACAATGTGGGCACGTTAACATGAAGCGATCTCTGGGTCAAACTAATTAGTATTCAAAGCCCAAAGGTTGTTTGTTTACCAGCTGGTGCGTAAACACCTTTGACATAAGAGCGTCCCGGAGCAGAAAGCTGAGATCCTTTGCATGTCTCCAATTTCTCTTTTCATCAACCGAGTCCGTCTTGTGCCTTCTGACGTGCTACCGTGGGCGAGACGGCGGAGACGCCTCGCCCACAGCAGCAAAACGAGAACAGCAGAGAACGTGTCCCGGCCTCACCTCTATCGCGCTGTAGGCCTCCAGGAACAAGGCTTTGCTGCTGACGCTGCAGTAGAAGCAGCCCAGCATCATGTACACGCAGAAGGAGAAGAAGTAGCGCTGGTTGAAGTGGCCCACGCAGTTGTTCAACCAGGCTGGAGACGTGTTCAGTTCAATGTGTACAAAGATGGTGAATCTAAAACAAACACTGGAATCATTTTTAAAATCGAAAAAAAAAAAGCAAACAGAGTGAAGCATGTCCATGCATTCTCTGTGATGCTTGTTAGAAGGATACGACAGTGGTGGTCCATCTTCAAAACACAGCTGCAACATAAACAATTTACCATGAGGGATTATTTACATTGATTTTAAACTGAAGAACTGCACATAAGAGTTATTATTTTCTTATCTTACGTGTTGCAGATGCTGCAGTGGTGCGTCCTGTGCGGTTTGGGAGTGATGCATTTCTTGCAGATGGACACTGAGGGAATATGAATTTTGTCCTAAAATAAACAAGAAAACACAAATGAGGAGGATGTATTATTGACAATGTTAAAATAAACACAAAAAAAACCTCACACCTCTGGTGTTTGTCCAACACCACTTGGCAACAAGCGTGCATCACTTTTTAGCATACACCGCGTCAGCATTTTCCTTTCGGCCTATCAGGAGCTCAGTACCTTGGGCGAGTGTCCTGGAGAGGTGGTGGTGGCCTTGTAGTAATGGAAGACCACCATGATGAGAAGCCAGTGGCCACAGCTCAGGTGCCAGACGACCCAGTGCAAAGGGTATGTGCTGACAATTGTGGGTAGGACGTACAGGTAGATGATGACCACAACCGAGGTCATCAGCAGTATGACGAGACAGACAAACACCTGAGAGAGAGAGAGAGAGAAGATGTGAGATGGTGAGGAACGAGGTTCCGGGGGGGGAGGACATGGAGGACAGAGATCCAACGGCTCACCGCTCCAAACCAGCGGGTAACATTGTCCACGATCCAGTAGACGGGTTCAAATGCGCAGTCCAGCAGAGTGTCGCTGTTGGTGAGGCTGTTGAAGTACAGCGACTTGAGCAGCAGCCTGCTGTAGCTCCACAGCTCCAACAGCCGGCTGCCGGTCCACGTCCCGGTCGCCCCGCCTCGGCCTCCTCTCTGCGGGCGGCACTGCCGGAACCAGCGCAGAGCCAGCCTCATGGCCCGGGAGAGCTGCCACCTCCAGGTGCTGCTGCTGCTGCTGATGATGCTGCCCGTACGCATGCCACCTCCTCCTCCTCCACCACCACCACCACCTCCTCTCCTACACACTCTGCCTTCCAGACACACACACACACACAGACACACAGACCAACAGGTGCAAACACAGGCCGCGTAAAAGAGCAGCTCTTCGTAGCGCAGCCTGGCGGCTGCAGAGTTTTCCACCGTCATCTCTGCCGCAGCACGGGGGAACCGGCACTCCTAGAAAGCACCGGTATCCTCTGTGTGACACACGACCGTCAAATAAAACAAGGCACGAGCTGCCAGGTATTGAGCTACGCCCCTAGAAATGATGCAGAGTGGTAACCCTGTAAGAGGGAAGCGCGATGGGGTGAATATCTTAAGAAGGAAATAAAGTAGCTACCCGATCCAGGGCATCATTTCATGAAAGTGAGTATTGGTTACACGGATAAGGCTTGTTCAGGTTCTCCCAAATAGGATGGCATGAATAATGAGACGCTAATCAGGGACATTTAGGAGAAAGTAAGGCCCGTCAACAACTTGCCCTCTTTCGTTGCCGTCAGCTGCAACTTGACTATCCTTAAAAAAAAGTAAGTGTAATAAGTGATCTGGCATAAATAATGTAAATGTGACACGCACCATCTGTCGAGGTCGCACATGATGACGCTGTTTTCCTATCGTCATTAAAAAAGGTGCTGAATGCAACATTAATTAATCATGATGAACACCAAATGAATTCTGCATGGAAGGAGGAAAGACATGGATCAAAAGTTAGGAATCGTCACAGAGTTATGTTTAGGGCTGCAACAACTCACCAATATTCTCTTTTTTTTACTTTTGATTAATCTGCAAATTCTTTTCTTGAAGAGTCTTGTAATCAGTTGATCTCATTTGGACCATTTAACATGAGACATCTTCAGAAATGCACACAGCATTTTCCCCCAGAGGGCAAGTTGTTTTGTCTGACCGACGGTCCAAAGATATGGAGAATAAAGCACCTTGTACATGCATGCAGCAGAGCCTCCGCTCGACTAAGTGGGGACCTTTGATATTAATTTGCATATTATATTCAGTGACAGACAGAACACAGCAGGGCACCGCGGTCTCTATGGCAACCCGCTGCCCTAAATCAAGTTCGAGAAGAAAGGAGGATCACTGTGACTCAGTCTCTCTCAATAGGATCAATTATTGATGATAATCATCATAATGTTCATGCAAATGCATGAATCATCTGAGAGCCACATGCTGGTGTTTTTCATGTAAAAATAAATTCTTTGGATTTTTTTTCAAGTACTTCGCCATCAATACGACACTATTCTTGACATGTATGCAGTAGACATTAATTCATTATTGATCTTATATATACTTAACAAATAAGTATTCATGAGGAAATGACATACAATGCAAATACATATCCAACAGCTGGGTGGACTCAATCCGTAGCAGTATGTTGACGTGATGTGTGAGGTTATGGTGATCAGGATGATGTGATTAAAACAAATCGATTAATCAATCAACAGAAAACTAATTGGTCACTATTCTGACTATTAAGGGCAGACACTATCCTGTTCCAGCCTCCTCAATATGAAGGGTTTTGGGAAGTTAAATGGACATTTTTCTGTATTTTATAGACTCAAATATTAATTGTTGACTAGAGAAAACATCTACAGTCTTATTTATGATGAAAAAGTGTTGCTTCAAACCCTAATATCATGATTTAACTATTGTAAGTCATTTGTTTCCCAGTCTAAATAGCCACATTACAGTCAAGTGGTGCAGCTGTTTGAAGCCACAGGCTTCAAACAGCTGCACTAGTTATACTATAGTTATACTATAGTTATATTCTAGTTATACTATACAAGTATAACATTGTTGTATTTTGGTTATCAGTAGCCTACATGCTATTGTCATACTATATTGTTATACTATAGTTATACTATAGTTATATTCTATATTCTAGTTATACTATACAAGTATAACATTGTTGTATTTTGGTTATCAGTAGCCTACATGCTATTGTCATTGTAGCTCTTAACCAGCAGAGAATGTCACCTTTGTAGAAATGCAATCGAAGACTGAGATCATTTGACAAATCCACATTACGATAGTTCCCACTGACCGAATGATTAATACTATTCAGTTTCATTATCTTGTAATCTCTCAAACAGTGAAATAAAGCATCCATCCCTTTGCTCCAGTGTGTCCTGCTTTGCTATTTGCTTTGCTATTTGCTGTATCGTTGCTGCTAGCTGCCTCCAGCTAGCTGCCACCCGCCCACAGTGGAGTCATTTTTAATAAATACAGCTCTCCGACTCGTACTAAACTCGACAACTGACGTTCTGTACCTGGTCAGGTGACGTGTGCGGACAAGTCTGCAGCAGTACGGTCAGGTCATGGTCAGGCTAAACTGTTAGCCATGGTCTCCACTGACTGCAGGAGAGTTACCCACAGAAAAAAGCGGCGGTGTTTACGAAGATCGTCTAATGAACAAAGGTTTCACTCAGCAGTGGCAAGTGGAGACGTCTTCCGGCTAAACTGGTCACTAGAGAACATTTTGAGTTAGTTTATCAGTGGAGGGTCAACTACTTGTTACCCCAAGGTTAAATAAGTTTGGTTAAGAAACTCCAATTTGCACGTTATACAACGTAAAGTTCCTCAAAAAGGGGTTTAGTGCCCCACAAAATAATTTCGAAGTGGGACCTTCTCTTCTTCGACTCGTCGCTGCAGCTTGCTTGAGAGCGCGCAATGTGTTCTGGGTAATGAAGTCGTATTTTGCTCGAAGGGTTCATTAAAACGTATCTTAACTCACGCGTTCGTTGTTATGAGTTCAAAATAACATTCTGTCATGTATTCACAGTATCAGTCAGTCCTGTATGACGACAACAATTCATATTCAACAGACCGCCCATTTGAAACCAATAACAGCGCATTCCCAAAAGTTGGCATAACCAGGAAGTACTGAGGTGTCATGTGATTGTAAAAAAAAAATGGCTGCGGTGCAGTGGTAAGATGTTCTTTTCTATTTAAAAAACTCCGTTTCATCAACATACACTTCCTTAAATCGTGTATTCTAGGTGCACATTTTGAGAACGTTCATGTAGTATCGCGAGCTGCGTTATAATGATCGCGCCAAATGATGTTGTCAACCTTGTTATTGCAGGTTGTCAACATAACATTACCAATCAAATGCAGAATGAACAAGTGGTATTATGGCTCTGGCCTTGAATCAAATGTCCCCTTTGGTTGCGTTCTGGCAAAGCCTATGCTGAAGTGTCAAAGTTATTCGTGTTAGCATCAGTTGTAACAGCTGTTGGTAAATAAACAGTGGGCTCTCTATGGTGAGTGTGTATAGAGAGACCTCAGACTGCCAGTGTAAGCGCACCTGGTGATTGGAAGGACGTCAGTGGAAGCTGGAGTTGAATCTGGCCTCCTGTCTGTGTGTGTTGTTTACCAAGGCGATCCAGCGGACGCAACTATGACGCAGAGCTGCAGAGGTGTCGTCCTGAGGCTGCTCTGGTTGAGTTTGGAGACTATCACCCCCTCAAACCCATCATGGTAGACATTTCTCTTCTAACTACTGATCAGCCTCATCATACACCCCACTGTCACAACATCACATCGTCTGCACCCGTTCCACCGTCAGCATAGTTAAACACAATCTATTATGTTATTTGGCAGAAATTACATTCTACAGTTCAGGTTGTTAAAAGCGCGATTCGGATGTTTCTTGCATTTACTTTGCTGTCCCTGTTACAGCTCTGACCTTCCCTTCTCTCCACCCAGGTGACCGATACAAAGACCCGCCGCGGGGCTCGTAAAGGCAGCACCTCCTCGTCCTCCTCCTCTTCCTCCTCTGTGCCCCCGGACCCCCTCAGCTCCATGCTGGACGGGACCGACCCCCTCTCCATGTTTGCGGCAGCCTCGGCCAGTGAGGCTCCTGCCATGTCACACAGCGCCTCCACTGGGGTTTGTAACACTGAGACAAATGCCGTTCCAAAAGCTTTTCTGCCCTGATTTCTTTATTTTTTTAATATGAAATTGCACGGAATAATTGGAAACATCCGCTATTGGCAGCTTGGATACAGATTTAGTCAAACTCTATTTACCACACCCAGAAGTGGAATTAAGATGATACCCACACCTGTTTTTTTTTAAGGAGAGATGTTGTGCTTCCAGGACCCCCGGAGGAAGAGGAATGAGAAGGAGGAAGAGGCGGTTGGACCGGACTTTGAGCCCTGGTTGTCAAAACGCGGGGAGATCCTGGCAAGGTTCACCACCACTGAGAAGCTCTCAATTGTGAGTCGTCCTCCACCATAACAGCAAGTTGTTCTGGTTCTTTGAACAGAAACCTAATTCCAATTTCTTTGTCTTCACAGAATCTTTTCATGGGTTCGGACCGAGGTAAGACCTGCATTCGTATTCATCGTAACACCTTCATTCACACTTTACTCAACAGCACAAACTCGCATACGCTCAGTGGACACACACAGTTAGCAACTGGCTGGTGAACATAGGGGAGCACGTAGCAGCCAAAGAGCCAGATGTGTCTTCTCAGGAGTTGGTGGAGACCAAACCAGAGCTGAAAGGAGAATTAATGGTTGACTTGAATTCGTTGGGTAGAAACAGAAACGCATGTAAATATGCCTCTGTGACGTGTTGGCCGTGTCAACTTAATAAGCCCGTAATGCGTCAGTGTTGTGCAACACAGAGTCTGTGTGTGTCTTTACTTTGGTCAAACACTAACGCATCACTCCTGTTGCCGCCGTAGGAAAAGCTCCAAGTCCAGGATCCTCCGCTGTTTCAGAGAAAGTTCGAACTCGCCTGGAGGAACTGGACGATCTGGAGGAGGTACCTTCTTGTCTAAATATAAAAATCATCCGTCACCAAATGTTCTATTACTTGTGTTTGCATGCATACACTGTACATACTTTAACGGCACACTTTGACTGCCTCTGTTGGTGCTTAAACATGCTGCAAAATCCATCAACACAATAGGTTTTCAAGTAGACATCATTCTAGCTAAGCAGAGAGAATCCATATTAGAGCAGCGATGTGTTTTGGACTGACTTGTTTTTGTGTGTGTGTGTGTGTGTGTGTGTGTGTGTGTGTGTGTGTGTGTGT